ATCCCAAATTTTCCAATATTAATGAAATCATAGTTCTAGTCCTTACCCCTAATTGGCAACAAGTTAATTTAATTAATAGGAAGTTGTCTTGTGATGTTCAAAGACCCCTTAAAATGAATTGTTTATCAGTCTTTTCATTATTTTTAATATCTATTAGGCAACAATATTTATTAAATACCCATAAGTTGCTTTAAAAGATATGGTTACCTAAATATTGCTAGTGACTCAGTTTTTGGTTTTTTTTTAATAAAAGGGTAAGAGGTGCACAGATTTGTGGTGGTACGCTCAGGAAAAAAATAGGTTACCACTTGTCCAGCATATTGGAGAGAGGATCCTTTTACAAGGAAGGGTTAAATTAGAAAGGGCCTCTTAGGTCCCTTCCAACTCTGAGACTCTGTGGTTCTATGAAAAAATCCTTTCTCTTTTTATCATTTTCTCCAAGAATGGCTGAGCTTCTGTTTTTCTTTCCCCCGACTCCCAGGTCAGCAGCAGAATTTGGAGACAGGTTGGAAAGAGTAATGGAACCCACGTTTTAGGAAAGTAGGACTGCCACAGATGCATTTTCCTAATTCCTGAAACGGTTTGTTTACCCTTTTTGCATAGATATGGAAGACAGTGCCTAGTTGCTAGATTTTATTTTAGGGAAGACAGCATTTATTCTGTTGGGTGGGGAATTAGAAAGAATGGAACATGAAAGTTTTGAGTCCTAACAGAAGGTATCAGAAACTCTTTGGGCTCAAAGGCAGATCTCTCCCTGGTTTAAATCCCTGTGGCACCAGCAACCTGCAGCATGCATTATAAGACCTGAACACTAACAGTCTCATATTCTCTTATTTTAGGTATTTACATCATATCTCCCCAATTAGATTATAAGCTCCTGGAGAAGATGTACTTTATCTTTGAATCACTCATAGCAAGTAACACAGCAGGGCACAGCACTAGGTGCTTAATAATTACTGACTTGAATTGTATTAATTATTAAATGCATTGAAACTGATAAAAAAAATGAGACAGCTGTCTCTGCACACTGAAATACAGGCAACTCCCCCCCTACCACACATACACACACAGAACATCTGCCAGTTCTGGGATAGTATCTCCTCTGTTATTACTGCAGACAATTTTAGATACACAAGGTAAATTTACATGCTCCTCTGCTTTCCAACAACTTGCAAGGAGGAATAAGCAAAACTTCCTGAGAATGAGGATTTCAGAGGCATTCAAAGGTTAATAAAAGTATCATTAAAACTGCATTTTTTCTCATTATTTTTATCATGATTTTAGTTTTCTTCTGAAAATTGTGTGTCCTTTAATTGTTTGTTACTGGTTTTTCTCACCAAATAATTTTAAGATTTTTTCAGTGTTAATTTTGTGTCTCTTGATATATTTAAGTAGTCATCAAGCACTGTGGCCAGCTAACTTCATTCATTAGAGAAGCCCAAGTTTATAGTTTACTCTGCTCTGGAGTCACAATTGATCACAAGGGTGGTTGTATCACCAAAACTTCACTACCACTAAGAAAAAAACAACTGCTGCACATGTGATTTCTTCCTCATAAACAGAGCTTTTTAAAAATACGTTATATTATTGCCACAGATAGAAAATACAGTCTTGATAATATTACAGAATTATTTCTTTTCCACTTAAATTAGACAAGGTTGTAATTTCCTCTTTTTGCTATTACATTTCATTCTTAAAAAAAAGAAATGCTCTGCAAAAAAAAGGAAAACCTTAAAAACTCTAAAAATACAGAAGAAAAAGTACAAAATATACAATTAAAAGAATGTTCTTTCTATTTCTCCCCCACCCTATTACCAGCTCAAAAACAGGACAAATGAGTATACTGGAAGAAGCATACCAGCAAATGCTTTACCTAATTAAAGACATCTGAGAATTCTTTGCCAGCCTTAAAACTTTCCTTAATAATGAGTGCCCTTCCCCAAAGCTAATGGTTTTAAATTGTGAATTTGTTAGCGTTGGGCTACAAAACTGCTTAGTTAAATATTTGTTGTTAAAATTGTTTTGATAAAACAGGGTACAGGGACAATGATTCAGATCCTTTAATTTTAAAGAAGCCAAGACACAGACTGCTTACTCCACCCCCTTGTCTATCATCTCAACACTGAGATGTAGTGAAAGTCAGATTTTTTTTATTTTAAAGGAAAAATTGTCCCATTTCATATTCCACTTTCAAGTGAATCAGAATTCTATGCATTACAACATATGCTATTTGATATGCCCACCAATATTTTTGTAAATAAATAATTTTGTACAGGAAAACAAGCAGGTTTGCAATTCCTCTGAAACCCCTCTAATTAGGAGGATTTTTCAAAACTGAGGCTTTACCTCTGCAAAGCCTTCTTTTAAACCATGGATATTTCTTAGTTTATAATTTTATCATATATGATGGTAGGATAATCTTACACTATGACCTTTAAAATGGGAAAATAATATTCAATAAAAGTGATTGCTCAATGACTTTAGAGGGCTGAGTCTCAACTTTAGCATTCATTTTGATACTTGTGACTTATATAAGCCATAATTTATCTGAAACCCTCTCTACTTTTTTTAATAGATGATATGATCTCTGAAGTTTTGAAAGAATAGATTTCCATAATCTAAAAAGGAATATTAACCTGAAACCACTGATTACTGAAATTTACTAGTTAAAATAACTCTAGAGGCCTATCTATAAGAGTATACATTTCCAGAGAACTGTTTGCTATCCACACAAAAGATTAACTTCCTTAAAGTATTACTTTTATAAAGAATCTGACAAATATTTTCTGTCCATAATTCTGCTAATTTATCATGTAGTTTCAGTACTTCTCATCTGGTTTTTATTACTAGAGATACGATATCTAAATGAAAACAAAGTCTTTGGAGTTTTTGAAAAGTTAGCTCCTGCTTTTTTCCTATCTAAATCATAATTCTATTATGACATCAGGATCATTTACAAGCAAAGCATTTTTATTTCAAGGACAAGCAGAATAGGATCAACTTATTAAAAAAAAAAAGAGGGGGCACTGTTTTTATGAAGCTGTTCCCTAGTAAGGAAAATATAGAAACCCTGTGATATGGGTCATCTTTGGATCTTGTAATAATGAGTGCTTTCTATATTATAAGTGCCTCATAAATATTTGTTAATTTGCATTGCATAAATTCTTATAATTTATACCAACAAACGGGCTTTCTGTCTTTTAAAATGAAATAAAAAGAACATACTCAAACTTATTGGTGAGATCAGTAATGTACTTTTCTATTATATTTGACTATCCATAAATGACTTATGTTGTCTTATGATTAAATCGTCACTTCAATATTTGTAATGGCTACTATCTAGCATAAAATATTAAAAATAAAAATAGATATTTCTCTTTATTTTCAAGACATTGAAAATTCTAATTCTGAAGTGTTCAAACTTGGATATTCAACCCTTTTTTTTTTAATGCTGTTTCACAGAAGAAAACATGGAACTAGAATTTAACATTTAAAAGAGGGAGCACCTTCTTTGAAATCATACGTACTGGATCCTCCCTTTTCCCATCTTCTTGCCCAGTATGAAAATAAACTTTAGGCACTCAAAGATATGCAGGTCAAAGTTCGCACATATGTTCCCCTGAATGAGTATGCAGCTTACTGACTGTAGACATTACGAGTAACAGGATCTAGGCTAGGGCTATGAGTTCTGTTCAGATCCAAGGTCTAAATCTGGTAATAAAATTCAAGGATCTTAAATCAATACTTACATGTTTAGGGGTTTCAACTGAAGTGATCCCAGGATCCTTTACTTAGACTACAGGAAGAATTCTTGCTATATCGAAGTAATAAACTATTTCCCAACCTACACCTCAGCTTTTGTTGGGTACATGCGGGGAAAATTACAAAGTAACCGGCCCGTTTAGACCCCCTCCCCCTTTCTCCCTCCCCCCAAAATGAGGAAAAAGTTGAACTGTTGAGCGTGACCAAAAAAATTGGTCCGAACAATGGCATTTCAGAAAACTGTGCCGTATTGAAACAAGCTTTTCTGTTAGGGGCACTGAACTGCAGCCACCTCGACTTTTTACAAAACCTGAGAAGCAACTAAATATTGGGCAGAAATAAAAATGAGAGTTATTCTCAGCTGGTGAAATATTTTCCCTCTCAAATCGGGGAGCGGTGGTGGTGATGGTGGTGGTGGGAGAAGACGCATGGCTAGGTTTGGATACTTATGCACCTCCTCTGTCTCCAGGTCCTGCTCCTTTAAAAGTGACCCACCCGGCAGCTAAATGCAGCCACCGCCGCCTCGGAGACCCTCGGCTCACTCTATTCCTGGCTCCCCCACCCCGCCCCCTCCCCACTTCCCCCACACAATGGCGCCTTTGGAGCTCCCGCTAGATGGGTTCTCCGGCTGTCTAGGGGGAAGCGCTATTCACCCTGGAGAAGCCGCACGCTCGTTTTCGCGCTGACTGGGCTTTCCAAAGGGAGATCAGCGCACAAAGGAAAGTGCGTAGGGCTGCTCCCCACATCGTACGGCGCTCCGAGGCTCCAGAGGCTGGCGAGGAGGGAGCGAGCTAAAAAGGCATCAGGGGGCTAATTCATGACCCATGTGCCCCAGGGCAGTGCTGTCCCTCCGTCCACTTCCCCGCACTCCCCAGCCCCAAAGGTTTAGGTCATTGTGCCGGAGTACATTCAAAGGCGTTCCCCGGCTTGGGCTTCAGCGGAGGCTGAATGCGCCCAGCCCCAAGGGCTGAGCAGGGCATTATTCCTGAGGTGGTCGAGCTTTCAGTGGGAGAGGAAGGGGCGGAGGTGGAGAGAAAATGGTGTGTGTAGATGTGTGTCTGTGTGATTGTGTGGTGTGTTGCGTGTGTCTGTGCGTCCAGTTTTCTGATGAAACACACAATCAAGCAAAGGCTGACATGATCAGATTTTGTGGAGAAGAGGAGGGGTGGGGGTAGGGTGGGGTGGGTTGGGGTGGGGGGAGCGCGGTGGAAGGCGTGGAGAGGTGATATTGCACTTACTTTCTCTATGGTCCCAGGGAGCAGGCGGTCCAGCAGCCTGCAGAGGACCACCCCATCTTTCAGAGACGACTGCAAAAAGCCCTCCGGGTCCGAAATGGTTTTTTTGGGCGACTCCAGCACCCCCAAGGTAATCAGCCACGTAACGGTCTGTTCGGCGGAATTCATAGCTGCCAGAGGAAGAGAAATCCGCAGGGAAAAGGGAGAGAAATTGCACACGGAGCCGCCTCCCCCCCCACCTCTTTCTCTGTCGCCTTTTTTTTTTTGGATCCCCCCCTTTTTGCTTGTGGTTTCACATTGGAGCAGCAGCGGCTGGAGCTGCTGATCCCACCTCCTCCTCCTCCTCCTCCTCCTTCCCCATGTAGATGCAGATGATGACGATTGGCTTTGCGAAATCCAGTAGGTCCAGTTTCTCTCTCTCTCCCTCTCGTGCGTTTTGGCAGACTGTCAAGTGCCTTTTCATTATATGCACATGAACCTGCAACAGCAGCAGCAACAGCCTGGCGCCGCCTCCTCCTCCTCCTCCTCCTCCTCCTCTTCCAAGCCTTCCTTCAGCTGCTGTCGCCCAATGACATCACTGACAGGAGGAGAAGAAAAGAAGATGCCGTTTGCAAGCAGCTCCACATCCTGTCATCATCTTAGCGTGTTCTAGCCATTAATACGAGTGGCAGATGGTTCCGCCCTGCATTAGGTGCCCGGGGCAAGGTTCGGTTATTGAACGCATGCTGGCGTTCGCTTTTACGCACTTTTGAGCACGGTACATATGTACAAATATGTGTCAGTACACCTCTACAGAACCAATTTCTAAGGATTCATAAATTGATGTACTGAACAAATTGCAAATGTAAAATGTGCTCGTGGGATATAGGAATACACATATCCACATGCTAAATATATTTTTATAGTCAGGTATATATTATGTAAAATCTTTTTTGGTAAGCAACGTCTGACAGAAGTCCCTTTGACCTCTAGAGAAACTAGTTCATTTTCAGTTGCCGGTTGCAGCCTTTTATCATCGAACTGTACAAGTGAGATGTGCCCATGTGCACTTTCTTTTATACAATTTGTTAACCATTTGCGCTTCTGCCTGGGCAATTTTAAACAGACACCATCTGGAAGAATCTTCCTTTACTCCTTTCATTCTCTGTCCTTATGCCTCACTCCTTTGCTTAAAAAGACGTACAGTTTTTCGATTTTTATAACGTGTGTTAAAAAAAACAAAACACACACACACAACAACCAAAGATTTCCCATAATGCTCCCTCCTCCTTTTATTTATGGCAGTTTTATTTTAAAAGATGTGAGTGGTGAGAAAGGGGGCCCCAAATACTTGGCATTCTCACTGTTACAAGTCAACAATCACGTAACATACGTTTTTGCTATGTACGAAACTAGATGGGTCTAAAATGGGCAGCAGTGGGTTTCAATAATGCTGCTTGTCCCTGTAAACGTGAACTGCAATCTAACTCTATACAGCTTGTGTCTCGTGTGCCCCCTAGTGGAGGGTTGGTTAATGCGGCTTGCTGGCAACTAAACGCCCCTTCAAAAGTCTCGTCTCAGGTTTGTCCTAGGACAGAATAACTACTGGAAACTTGGTAGTTATTCAATTTTGAATTAAGAGATTCTATACAAAAATTTAGGGGAAAAATTCAGAAATTCAGAAATAGACATAAAGTAGATTTATTTTGTATTTAATTAATACTTGGTTTGATTGGCTGATTTCTTAAGTTGGTCTGGGAGGAATGTCACAGTAATCTCAGATCCAGTAGATATTTTTCTAGAAACAGCTTTAGGAGTAGACATGGAGCATACAGGCCATGGTTAGCATGAGGCATAGTGGGGATGGTCAGTCAGGAACCAGTATCATTTTTCTTTCTTTCATAGCCTTAGCTTCAAAACATTCAAAAGCCTAATTGCTATGTAAGTGAAAAAGGCTTTTATCTAAGAAAAAGAAAGAAATGGCTAATGATATTTACACATTACTTTCATCTTCATATGGTTCATAGTAGAAATCAAGTCTTTTATTGAAACAGAGTATGCTGGCTAAAGCATTGGCTTTCCTTTGCTACATTTATTTCCACTCATTATGTCTACAGTCTGCCAATGTTTTCCTTGTTTGCTTTTTTGTGACTTTCCATAATGATAGTTTATGGAAGGGGCTGGAAAGCTATATAAGATTTTTAAATATCCAAAAGAACTTAACAGTGTTCCCCCCCACCCCAACTTCTGCTTCCATTCAGTACCCCACTGTTGAAGACAATTAATGCCATTATTCCTATATTTCCTGATTCAACTTCACCGCCTCTATTTCCTCTCCATTATTTTAATTCTCATTCACATTTGTATGTAAATACTCACTCCAAATAATGCCAGAAGCAGCTTGATTTTTTGGACAAAAATGGCAATAAATACCATATTGTTTTCATATCAAGGCACCAAATCTGTTTTTATGTCCCTATGATTATACAGAGAGGCAATGTGTCATAGTGAATGCAGACTTGGCCACAAAGCCAGGAAGACCTGGGTTCAAGCCCGCCTTTGGCACATCCTGGTTATTTAACCTTGGGCGAATCATTTAACCTTTCAGTACTGTAAGCAGCTCTCTGAGACTGTAAGCTGCAGAGAAAGTCGCAACCTGAATTGATAGAGGGAATTTCTTCACCTGGGAATTCCCTATTCTAATGAAACCAATCAGTCAACTAGTATTTATTAAGCATCTACTATGTTCCAGCCTCAGTGCTAAGTGTTGGGGATACAGAGAAAGGTAAAACATAGTCCCTGCTCTCAAGAAACTTAAGTTTTATCAGGGTGGGGGAGAAAGCATGCAAACAACATATGTATAATGATGTATGCAGGATAAGTTACAGAGAGAAGACACTAACATTAAGGTATACTTCCTATCCCCATGATTATGTTAAATAAATAAATAATACTGCTGCTTTCCTTATATGATGACCAAGAAAAAGGAGGTAAATATCTGGTACAAAAGTTTTGACCAAATGGTAATTATCAGTATTATCAATGTAAGCATTTCCAGAAAAATCTTTCCCTCCTCCATTGTATTCACTTCTATTAAGATGATCCAAAGAAGGAATTTAGAATAATATCACTACATTTGCAGATAATGTTTAGGGTATGGAGAGGGCTCTGGATGCTCAAAGTCTATTCCAGCAGACCAAACTTTCTAGAAGTTTCCATAAAGCAGGAAAAGCTGTGAGTGTGGAACTGTTATCCAAGGACCAGCCTAAGGTAAGTTCAAAGAGCCTCATTGCCAGAAAGTTAACCACCTAGTGATGGGGGGGAGGTGTCTAGGGCAAATCATGAAAATGTCTACTAAGGCAAGAGATAGTGGGAACATCCATTAAATCAAAAATCTTTTGAAGTTCCTAAGTATTGATCTGGCAAAGCTGCTAATACTCCAAAGGACAGGAATAAAATTCAAAATGTCTTGATTAAAATAGTCATCATTTGGACTTTTAAATTATGATGTATTTCAAATAGATCAAGTAAGGGAGCTTTTGTTGAGACAAAAATAAGATGTCAACTACTTATGACTTAGTAGATAAGTAGAAACATAGAGGTTAATTAATTTGCCCAAAGTCATGCAGCTACTGTAATGATCTCTAAGGTGCGTTCTAGCTCTAAATTTATGACTCTATAATTATCAAAGGTTAGATTTGAACCCAGACCTCTTTTGGATCTATGCACCAGGCCATGTTGCCTTTCAAACAAGTTGAGGAAAGATTGGCTAGCAGGAAAATGTCCATCCAGCACTAGATATAACAAAGAGACTTTGTGCAAGGAGCAGGAAAAAAATCTTTCCACTGAAATATGAATTAATCAATATTGTGGCCAGTTGAGGTAACAACACTTCAAAAGATACATGAAAGACTGTCAAAAGAAAAACAACAGAATAATCAATGGAATAAAATATAGGTTTTAAATAAAAAGGTTGAAGGAATTAAATTTGTCAAGGGAAGAAAAGACTGAGTCCTTCAAGTATTTGGAAGGTTTTTTTTTTTAATGTAGAGACTATTGAGAATTTGCTTCCTGTATCTGAGTAAGATCAAACAAGAAAAACAAATAAGTTGAATTTAAAACAGGACAGGCAAGGTTGATCTGTCTTCCATTCTCTTTCAGCTCTAAGAACTAGGATTTTTACTGATTATGGAAAAGTAAGTTTTGGATAATAACAGTACTGATAACTCAAATGCAAATGTATGAAGAACTTTGAGGAGAAATTTCCCCACAACAACTCTGAGAAAGGTTTTGCAAATATTCTTACCCCCATTTTTAAGAAGAGGAAATGAGGGCTTGGTGTGAATGTGAGTTTGATTGGACAAAGAATCTAACCTAGTGGTTTTTAGTGTAGTAGAGAGGTATGGCACGTGTACAAATAATTATTGTACAAAATCCTTGAGATATGCAAGAAAAACAACAATAAGCAAATTATGTGCAATTCAAGGGGAAAAGGACAAAACTATACACAACATCAGGATAGACTTCTTGTTGTTTTTTGTTTTTGCTAGGCAATGGGGTTAAGTAACTTGCCCAGAGTCACACAGCTAGTAAGTGTTATGTGTCTAAGGCTGGATTTGAACTCAGGTCCTCCTGAATCCAGGTCCAGTGCTCTATCCACTGCACCACCTAGCTGCCCCCCAGGATAGACTTCTTATAGGAAGTAACATTTGAGTTGGGCTTTAAAAGACAGGAAAAAAATGTGGAGTTGGAACATTCCAGGTGTAGGAAGGAACTGGAGCAAAAGTATGACATAGGCCAGGATTGAATATATATGTATATATGTGTGTGTGTATGTATATCTGTGTATGTGTATATATATGTGTGTATATATATATAATAATTTTGTTGCATTTTGTTCATTTCTGTCATATCCAACTCTTCATGACCCCATTTGGGATTTTCTTCTCCAAGATACTTGAGTGTTTATAATTTCTTTCTCTAGCTTATTTTACAGATGAGGAAACTGAGGCAAACAGGGTTAAGTGACTTGCCCAAGGTCACACAGCTAGTAAGTGTCTGAGGTCAGATTTGAACTCAGGAAGATCATCTTCCTGATTCCAAGCCCAGTGCTCTATCTACTTTACCACCTAGCTGCCATATATATATATATACATATATATATATATATATACATACACACATATATATACACATACATATATATGTGTATGTATATATATGACTTTTTAATTTCTTCTTAAGAAACATCTTAATAATAGCTAACATTTATATAGCACTTTGAAGTTATGTAGATGTATCCACGTATAGATGCACACATATATAACCCATATACACATATACATATGTATACAAATATAAACATATATACATCTATTTATATGTGCATAAATATTTATATATACACATTTTAGTATATTTACACATATACACGCACACATATGCACAAATAAATATTTTTTGTGTCAATCTTAAGTATACATGAATATATATGTGTGTATATAATTTCTTAGACATGTTAGTTGGAATCATGGGCATGTATGAGATTGCTGTGGGAGAGAGTTTAG